GAAGAAAAGAATAATCTTAATTTAAGTATTTTATATATATAGAAATAAAGTCAATAATGAGCAAAATTCAAGATGTTAAGTTTATTAAGATGACAATTTTTATTAACAAAGATGGTAAGAGTACTAAAAACGTTAAAAGTAAGTAAATATTAATATGGCTTGTAATGTGCAATGTAATACGTAAAAATAAGATTAACATTGAACAAAGTTGTTATACTGTTAATTATTTATGGGTGTCAAGTTATATCCAAAATTGGAGATATTTTTTATTATTTTTAAAATAGATCGCCACTGCTTCTACTCAATATATATATCTGTCGTTAATTTAACTAAAACAATAAAATTAAACAATTTAATTTAAGAAAATATATTTTTGATTCAAATTTAATTTATTATTTATTGAATGCATTAATATGAACATTAATATGAGTGCATTAATATATTGTTTACTTTGAAGCTAACCACAGAAATGGATTAATCTTCATTTCGATACACATGAAGAGTTAAGAAAATTAAAAATAACAAAATGTTATTTAACTCAAGAGATTGGATTACCTTCTACACTATTAGAGAGATTACTTCTTCAACAGTGCAGAAGGTAATCCAATTCCTTGAGTAATTTATTAACAAAATAATTTTTATTAACAAAAATAGGGGTTATTGTTTCCGCTACTCTTACCACCTTCGTTAGTTAAAAATTATTAGTTAAAAATATTAATAAATTAGTTGATATGTTGAATTTTATTTTATCGCGAGTCATATTAATATTTACTTATTTTTAATCTGTTGCATTGTATGCTTAACTGCATTGCCTTCATTTTATACCGAGACCTGAGAAACTGTGTGCAAATTCAATTTTAAGAATACATGAAATAATCTTACTTACGATGTCGATCTCCTAATTAACTGTTCAATACTTTTTGGTGTTTAAATTAAACGAATAAGGACTCTTCTCCTTTTCTGTATTAAATCTGTTATTTTTTTCAAATATTTCTTGAATATATCGGTTGATATATTCTCGCACACATAAGGGATTCAATTTTATTCGCTTCCCTTCTTCGATAAAGTATTACATCGAATCTTTGCAGGAACCGTCTCTCGTGTCAACAGCTATTTTATTCGCATGGCCGCGAAGATCGTGTTCGCCGTAAAAGAGATACTCCGCGCGCGTTGTCTGAATTGTAAAGGACCACTAAGCGGCGGCGATGCGGGGGTGGAAAGACAGAGTATCCGCAAAATCCGCCCATCCCGTTCCGACGAGTTACGAGGAAGGAACTCGTATCCGGGGGTAGAGTACGTAGGATCAATCGGATTTTTCTGCGAACGCCAGTCTGTTCTCTGTACACAATGACGCGAGAACGACGGTACTGGCTCGTTGAATCCCGGCTAGCCGCGTAATGGGTATCGAGAGACATCGTTAAGCGTCGATCGCCTCTCCCAAAGTGGCCCGGCGCCTTGATTCACCCTCCCTCGTCCTTTCACCCCCTTCCTCACCCGGCGCTTTCTCGTCTTTCTATCTCGCGCTACGCTGGGCAAGGGTGCTGTAAGACTATGTCGGTGCGCGTTGGCTATAGATCGCGATGGAGTCCGCGGAGGTGGTGGTGAAGGTGGATAAGGAGAGGGGGAGGGGGTGGAAGTGAGGACGGAGCGAGAGAAGGAAGAGAGGGAGGAAGTGGGAAGAGGAGGTTAAGGAAGGTAGATGCGCGGAAGCGGAGAGGAATAGGGGATAAACCATGATGTCGTTGATTAATACGGTTTACCAGTAAGTGTAACGGAGTGTGCAGAACACGCGCGTCCGCCACCCTCTTGCCCCCCCATCCCCCTCCCCCTCCCCTCTGCCGCTTTTCCGTCTTCCAGCGGGGACGGCTTTCCTCTCTCTATCCACCATCTCCGTCTCCTTCGCCACCACCATCTCCGCCGTCACCGCCGCCGCCGCCGCCGCCGCCGACGGAGGCAGAAGAGCTCTGCCTCCCTTCCACCCCCGACGGAATTCGTTGCACCAACCGGGAGCCACGTGCCGATCAATGGCGTCTTGCCGCTGGTTGGTCGAGCCGGGAACAACCCCCTCGCTCGCGTCTCCGTTTCGCCCTCTCGCGCGCCGTCATCCTCTCTCGTCTCTTTCTCTCTCTCTCTCCTCCACCTTCTTCTACGCCTACCCCTCCGCGCGCGCTTTCTCTCCTTTCTTTTTACTCCGCGAGAAGACTCGGCATGTACCCTCGAGGAGGGTTGATCCCATAAGAGAGGGCGAGCTTTTCTTATGAGGAGCATTGATTGCCAACACTCCCCTTCCCCCCTCCCCCTCCTTCACCCTCTGTCCTCCCTTCGGCCCTTGCCGTTGCCCTCACCGACTCGCGCCCCTTTACCTTCTGTCGCTCTTCCACTGCGATTCTACTTCCGCGTGAAAAGCTTGCATCTTTTCTCTCTTCTTCTTGCATTATTTCTTCTACCTCCTGTGTTTTTACTCGATCTCGGTTCTACTCGATCCTCGCCTATTCTCAGTTATGGCACAATTATTTGTCTATATATGGGATCGAAGGAGCGGTTCTTGATACGAACGCGAGAATGGAGAACTTATTGCACCGAGATCGAATCGCGCGGGGGCGATATCCGCGATATGCAATCTCACGGTACATGCTGCACGGGCAAAATAAGTTATGGAATCGGAATTTTCGGGACGGAAAAATCGGACGGTGGAACGAAATGCGGGATAACTGAATTCGAATACTTGTGAACTCGCGTATATGAGGGACAGCTACAAGATAATTTATGCGAATGAATGATTTATACACACAGGATTCATCACATGAGAGAACAAGTTTATTATCGCTACCACAGTTCTGACTACACAGTTAATCGCTACCTTACACTATACCTTTCGTTAGACTATCTTTGATTAGCACTGACTATTTATCGGGAGGTAATATACAGGTCTCTACAAACAGCTACGTCCGTTTCGCTTCTACGCCTTTCGATCGCTTCGCGAAAAGTTCAGAGGAATTTACGACATAAATGTAATTATCGTTATCTCGTCGAAATTATCTCGTCGTAATTATCAAACTAAATCCATGCAATAATTTCGCCTTGTCTTTCATCCTTGGCGCTTCTCTCTCTCTCTCTCTCTCTTCTGCGCCAAAATTTTGCGACGGATTTTATTTGATGAATTACGATACTCGCAAACGTAGCAAAGATTTGAAATCCGGTTAATATTGCCGGCCAATCGACGATTTTTAAGGCATATAAGAGTAGTTAGCCAACTCGAAACGAGTTTTCTTCGCTTTAATATCTGTGGCCAGGGATTAAAACCCATATAATCTCCGTGAGATCAATTTAATTCGACAAGTATCCGAAACATCTGACGTTTTCCTCTCCTCTTTCTGACAGCAGTATCGAAAACTGAACCGAGATTATATCGATTTCGATTCCCGCTCTCGTAGGAATTTTATGATGAATGCACACTCGAACCTGTCCGCGTGGCTTGAACGAATCGACTGGTCGAGCGTATCGAGCAATTGAATATACAGCGCATCAGGCACGTGTTGGTCCGTCGCGTCTTCTTATACTCGCGTGGAAGGAAACGAAACCATTTGTAAACACACTTTGCTATACATTTTCGCAGGTCCCGACGCGATTGCGCGTCGTTCTCGTTCCCGTTCTCGCCGCATTTATTCTCATTATGTATGTACAATACAAATGTGTATCGCGACGTATTGACATTCCAAATTCAAAAAGTCAGTCCGAAATATCCCCTTCTCACAGAATTTGTCTGGAATACTCATCGCTGTGATTAACGGATCCGTCAAACATTTTACGATACACATGGAACTTAATGATTTTCATACGTTGTAAATAGTGAATAGTGGCGATACAAACGTGTCTGGAGGTCGCAAGTTAAGGCAATAAATAAAATATAAATTCTGCGTAATATGAAGATTTAGACGCTATTGCTGATTACATATGTGAGAAAACGGTTTATGTGTCTGAGAATACTACAGAAGATTATTGTAATGCACCTCGCCTATTTACATCGCGTTCGCGGATATAACAAAGTAATCTGCAAATTGATAGTGCTCCATTATTCAACGGTTTATTGCATATGCAATGAGTATTAATGGTATCTTGTTTGTTTCCCATTTTTATCAAAATCCGAAACGATAGAGAGCCGGGAAACATCGAGAATAATAGTAAATAATCAATTGGTAACTTTTAAAGTGAAAAAAAATGCAAATTAAACAGTGCTTTACACTTTACGGAACTTTATAAAACCGATCCTGTCTTACGTATAGCTAAAAATGAAGTTGATTGTGAAATTTGTTGCAAACGAAAACTTCTCTCTTCTAAAAATTAACGTATTATATGAGCTAAAATAAGTTTTCTATCAAGATTGCGCAAGTTACTTAACAGGATTCGCGCCATGTTTACTTTAACAAGTCGCAATCGAAGACAATATGAATACAATTTGCAGTGTTTGCGCGAGCCGCCTTACCAAGCCAAAGTTACCACCTTGTAACATTGCGGTTCGTTAATTCTTCGTCGTCTTCCAGAATTGAGACCCTTAAACTCGCTTGAACTATCACAACGTCGAAACTCAGAAAAGCTTTTTTCCGTTTAAAAAAAATACCAGGAGATTAAAATGTAATTATAATAAGGAAAGCATTTACAAAGATTGATGGTATAACATCGATGAGTTCAATTTTCGACGCTGATGTATAACTTTCGGAAAACTTAAAATTCTTAATTCAATGAAATTAACGACTTGAAGGATGGGACTGTGAATTACAAAATAAAATCTAATAGAAAAGATCATTTCTTTCGGTAATATTTACTTTAAAGGAGCTAGAAAAATAAGTCTCCGTATATGAAAGAACACAGAACGTATAACATTCTATATATATTTATAACATTCTATATTTGTAACATTCTTCATATATAACATTCTTCAGCTTCTAAATAGCATCGAGATCCGAACTCACCGAGATTGTTATATCGTTGTCTAGCTTCGACTTTGCAACCATCCGATACGCGCAGAATATCTCTTTGAGATTTATATCTTGCGTTTATGAGACGATTCCGGCATTTGTGGAGGCGATCCTAGGGATCTTCTTTGGTAGTGGGTTGTATCTGATGCACCACGCCGGGCAGGTGATGATGATGATGGTGCTCCGGTCGCCTGGAGAGGCCCAACAAGGGCGGCAGCAGCGGCAGGGGAAGAGGCAGGGGTAGCCCTCCGGGGAAACCGGCGAGACCACCGAGGAGAGCCGAGGCGGTCGAGTGTTCCTGAGCTTTTCTTCGGAGCTCGGCCAGACTGTTACTTCGATGCAGATCGGTGCCAGTACCGGCGG